CTGAAACAGTAACTGTAACTGAATACAGTTACTCATAATTTGTACTCTGATTACTCTGGTACATGTAATCTGTTACTCCCCATCACTGCTAATATTATTTTTATTTATTTATTTATTTATTTGTATTTATTCATTTATTTAAAAGGGACAATGCATATTCATGAACATATACTTGTAAATACGCCAGAATTAGCCCTAAGGCTACTTTTCATCTGTCGTCCCTGGCAGGTCAGAGAGACAGAGACATAAAACATAAGAACATAAAACGCGTCACAATAGACAAACACACAAGCATGACATACAACACTGACATTTACATAGGAGCAGAACATTAGTGATCACATATCTGGTTTCTCTTAAGCCATCGCTTCAGATTAGTTTTAAATGAACTGAATGTGGTGGTGTCTCTTATAGCAGCTGGGATGTTGTTCCAGATTTCTGTGCCCTTGACTGATCACACCTGTTGACTGAAAGTTGTGCGTCTATAGGGTATTGCACAGTCGCCTCTGATAGAGGCTCTTGTTACCCGACCACTAGTGCTGGACCTGGGCTTAATGAACTCACCCAGAGCTGGTGGAGCAAGTCCATTTAAGATTTTGTAGACTGAGCAGGCGAGTTTAAATTTTTGAAAATTTCCCAAACTTAAGATATTATACTTCTGTAGTATGAGACAATGATGAAACGATAAAGATTTCCTATCAAATATCTTTAACGCTTTTTTCAAAAGTGATTCTATTATTTTTAAGGTTGTCATGCTTGTTAGTGACCAGTTAGTAATGCTGTATTCAATATGAGAGAGAATCATGCTGTGGAGAAATATTTTAGCTGCATTTTCTGGCAATGATGCTCTAATTTGCCTAAAATTGTGAATATTAAAATTAACAATTTTTGATATGTTTTTTACATGTTTTTTAAAAGTTAAAGTGGAGTCCAAGGTAACACCAAGATACTTAAATTCATCTACAAACTGGAGTCCCTCACCCCTCAGCAATACATTTAAACAAGATTTTGATGGACGTTTTGAAAAAAGAATGCAAACAGTTTTTTTAGTATTCAGTAAGAGACTTGACTTGGTCGGCCACTTATCTAAACAGGTGATTGCTGATGTTAACTTCTCTGAGGCTTCTATGACAGATTTTGCTTTTGTAAAAATTACGGCATCATCAGCATACAACACAATGTTAAGGTCCGTACAAACATTCGGCAGATCATTAATGTATAATGAAAATAAAATAGGTCCAAGTATGGAGCCTTGTGGTACTCCAACCTTGCAATCGACATATGGGGATTTGATACCGCTGACACAATGGGTTCGATTTGCCAAGAATGATTTTATCCAAATTATGGCCTGCTCAGAGAAATTAAATTTTGTTAACCTAGTTAATAATGTCTGGTGGTCAACCGTATCAAAAGCTCTTTTCAAATCAAGAAAGACTGTACCAACAAAAGGGTAAGCATTTAAAGAAAATTTAACTTTTTCAAGAAAAAAATGTATAGCCGTTTCAGTTGAATAATTTGCACGGAAACCAAACTGTATAGCATGCAGTGGGGTGTAACCCATATTTAAGTGATCAATTAATTGTTTAGTGACCCATTTTTCAATTATTTTAGATATAATAGGCAATATGCTGATTGGTCTGTAATTCTTGACATCTGTTTTATTACCAGATTTGAAAATTGGAGTAATTGTGGCCACTTTCCATGCTGTAGGAACAACTAAATGCCTAATTGACAGATTTATCAAATGTGTTATTGGACATATCAGGGAGTCCTTGTGTAACTTTATAAAATTAGTGTCCAGACCATATGCATCCTTAGCTTTTGAAGTTTTTAATTCACTGATGATGGAAGCTACGTCTGAGTCCCTAATTTCAGCTATCCTGAAGATAGGCAGAGACTCATTAACAGAGAAAGGTACATTTTCATATGAGGTAAAAAGCTGTGAAATTTCTTGGACTGAATTAAAAAAAAATATATATTGAATTCAGTTGCCACGGTAACAGGATCTTTAACAAGTTTATTATTTATTTTTAGTTCTAGTTCTTTACCATGTTCTGTTTTATTACCAGTTAATTTACTAATGTTGTGCCAAATTTTTTTGCAATTTCCTTTAGCAGATTCAGAAGTGAGTTAAGCATTTTGGCCGGACCCTCCACAATATTTTCTGTTTCTCATGTGGCCCCATGGAAAAATAATTGCCCAGCCCTGGTCTATGACACGATTGTCAAATGTTCCCTAGTATAAAGAGAAGGAGATAGCTAGAAGGAGAGATAAATAGATATGTGGGAGGGAGATCAGAAATAGATAGACAGATAGATGGGGGAAAGATCTGAGACAGGTAGAGGACAGAGAGCAACATGCCTTCAATGGCGTGGTCCTCGATGTTCTCATAGGTCATGGAAGCGGTCATGGCGAGCGTGTATCCGCGCACACAGCTCGTGATGTCAGACACACTGAGGGGCAAAGCGCTCCTGCTCTCCTTGTTTATGAGGCCGGGCATGCTGCTCCTTTTGTTACCACTCTGTGAGGAGAGAAAGAACATGCCAGATCACTACAAATACAACTTTGGGTGAGTGAATGGTGAGAGTAAACACAGAAAAAAGCTCTAAAAAGTACATTTTGCAGAATAAGGTTGCTTTAAACACATGGGATTCTTGTATTAGTTTCAGTTTATATTTCAGTCTTCTCTCAAATGTTGTTTACAATGTGCACTCTGAACAGATTTTTTGTACAGGATGGTACAAGAATTTTTTTGTGGCGACGATTATCATGTTAAGTTCACTGCCGTAACAGTAAGGTGTGAAAAAGAGCTGAACAACCAAATGTGAAATAAATGATTGATTGAACTAAACATTAGGGATGTAACAATAATCGAAATATCGTGATATCATATCGTGAAAGTTCTCACAATAATATCGTGGACCATCACAATATATCGAATTACAAGTCTCTTTGCTTAAATTAAGAGTTATGGTGCAACAGTAGCTAAAAAAAAGACAGAGGGAACTATACTTGGCCAAAAAAGAAAGGCAAGTTTTTGTTATTATTGCGGTGATTCAAAATTGCCCCTAACAGTACATGTTGGGCCTATTACTGTAATCAAAGAAGGAACACGATCTCTGGACGTTTGTAGAGATTTGCTACACTTGACTGATTCCACGCAATGGCTGGCTTTAGATTTCCAGACAGCTCAGCTCTACTGTGAATCGGACAACAATACTGCATACAAAAGTTGTCTGGAATCATTCTTAGTGGACTTTTGCATCAGAAAACCAAGGACTATAAGGACTCGGTACATGGATACAGGAAGTACAGCAGACCATATGTGTAGCGGCACTGGTGGAAGAATGGAGAAGGATGCCACAATTCCGTATTCCACACCTGGTACAGTCCAAGAGAAGGAGGGTCCTGGCTTGTATTGCAGCTAGGGGCCATGCACGCTATTGAAAATTTTTCCGCCTTTTTTCAAGATTGTTAGTATAATTATATATATTAAAACGCCATACTAAATAGAACTTGTGTTTCTTTTTTGGCCAAGTATACATAGACCATTATCCTTTGCTTCATTTCAGTGCAGACTACAAGAAAAAATAACAGTTCTTAAGCACTTTTAAGTCTTAGTTCTTTGGATTAAGTCTTGTCAAGGCATTTTAAGAGGAAAAAGTACAATATTAACAGTTTTGTTAGCCTCCAAAATATCGCAATAAATATTGTACCGTGAGATGTATATCGTGAAAATACTGTACTGAGAGATTTGGATATTGTTACATTCCTAATCGTGAGCCTCCCCTCCATATTATGAACTTTCTCACGAATATTGCAATAAATATCGTACTGTGAGGTTCATACCGTGACGATATCGTATCGTGAGACTTGGATATCGTTACACCCATACAAAACATATATCACAAATATAATCACAATGGCAATACTTGTCAGAAAAATCACAATTACTTTTTCCCCAAATTATGCAGCCCCATGTCTACTTTGAAATTTTGCAGTGCACACTTCAGTATAAAGCAGTGAGCAGAAAACAAATGAGATCTCATACATATTTGATGGAGATGCGAGCAGTGCCTCAGGAGAGTGACCTCAGTGTGTGGAGAGTAGAGACGTAAAACGTACAGGTAATAAAACAGTGTGAGAGAGCGTCACATGAAGTTACAGGTGAGAACATGATTAAGAAACAATGGGAGATGTAGAGAGTGACACGAAAAACGAGTTGGATGTAAGAATTAGGTGATTCATGATGCTATGCACAGTCCTATTTGACTATACCAAATATTAAAGGAACTGATTAAAAAAGACCTAAAACCACAACTTGCCATTGCTTTAATACAGAGGATGCATGTTTTTCTTATTCACAATATATAAACTCATGATTGGCTGCACATGCTGGGGTTTAAGGAGCGACCATTCAGATCAGAGAAAGGTATTTTAGGTTTAAACCAGCTGGATTTCAGCACTGAAACTGGCAGCCCAAATGAAAGACTCATGTGAGGCTCATTGTGTTTTCTAATTGGATAATCATCTTGAGAACCAAGATTTTGTAATTAAGCATTAATCAGCATTACAATTATTATCCGTAAAAGCTTTATTTAATTTGAAAAGTTCTCAGTCATTTCTGGGGACACAGTTAAAGGTCCTAGATTACACTAAATTGATTCTTCTGAGCTTTAAGAGAGATATATTGATATCGTAAAATAAGATATACGATATATTGTATTGTTTAATGTGATGATACAGTATCGATATCGTGAGTTGCTGTACTGATATATCGCCAAGAGTATTTTTTGGTATATTTTACTAAATTACTTTGTTACAGCGCTACAGTTTTGTTGCTTATTTAATGGAAGGAAAATCATTTATGCAGCAGCACATTTGACATTTTCATTGTTGTGCTGATTACAATTGGTGTGTTTTTTATTAACTTTGCAGAAGTGGTTTATCAAAGACTTTTAGTACCACAGCCATGATTTAGCCTTTATTTTTTTATTGAACTATACCAAATTGATTTGAAATATATTGTATCGAATCATATCAAAACAAAAGCGCACCGTATCGAGATATGTATCATATCGTGGCCTGTGTTTCGAGGCATGTATTGTATTGGCAACTTCTTTATGATACCCAGCCCTACTAGAGATGGGTTTTGTTTCATTCACACATGTTGAGAAATCCTTTATAATTAGTCTGTCTGCACCCCCAAAGCTCAAAATGCTGTTCCACCTTGTGATGTCATGAAGTGGTAGATTTTAAATTAACAGATATCTTTTACCTTTAATTCAGTAGAAATGAGCAATTCCAGGGCTGAAATTATCAAAACAATTCCAAGTGAAGATGTAAAAACACTTCCTGTAGTACCACATGACATCACAAGGTGGAACAGAGTGTTTTCTGTTTGAGTGAAGAACTAAAACAACTTTCTCCAGCTAAACTCTGACAAGACTGAAGTCATAGTGTTTGGTCCACAGAAACAAAGTGACAGTGTCAGCATCACCTCCAGTCTCTCTCTCTAAAACCTTCAAATCAGGCAAGAAATCTCGGGGTAATAATGGACTCAGACTTGAACTTTAACAGCCACATCAAATCAATAACATCTGCAGCCTTTTACCATCTAAAAAACAGAGCAAAAATCAAAGGTTTACTGTCTAAAGCAGACTTGGAGAAACTGATCCATGCGTTTGTCTCCAGTAGGTTAGATACTGTAATGTTCTGCTCACTGGTCTCTCCAAACGAGCTGTGAGACGCTGCAGAACATCCAGAACGCTGCAGCTCGGGTCCTTACTCGAACTAGGAAGTACAAGCACATAAGTCCTGTGCTCAGGTCTCTGCACTGGCTCCTGTGCCTCAGAGAATAGACTTTAAAGCAGCTCTGCTTGTGTACAAGTCTCTCCATGGCCGAGCACCAAAGTCCATCTGTGACATGTTAGTGTCATATGAACCATCTCACACTCTGAGGACCTCAGGGACCGGCCTCCTGCTGGTGCCCAGAGTCAGGACTAAACAAGGGGAGTCAGAGTTTCAGGTTCATGCAGCTAAAACCTGGAACAGTCTGAACATGTGAGACAGACTCTTCTGTGACGCTGTTTAAATCCAGGCTCAAAACATTTCTGTTTAACTGTGCAAATAACTGAAAGGTTTTCATTCCACACTCTTCTCTCCAATTTATGTCCCTCTTTTTTAATTTTAATATTTATGTTTTGATTTGTTTTTATTATGATTTTAATGTATTTCTTATTCTGTAAAGCACTTTGAATTACTTTGTGTACGAATTGTGCTATACAAATAAACTTGCCTTGCCTTGCCTAAATCTGCATGGTTTGAGTGTTAAACATGTGTGAATTAAACAAAACACAACTCCAGCTCTGTTTTTGATGACGAAACTACATTATAATATATACCAGAGTACAGTGAAATTTAGATCCTTTAAGTGCATCTAGTCTCCACCTTCTCAACAAATTTCGCCATGGCAACCAGTAAAGTATAATATCTTAACCTGGGGACAGTTTGCAAGTCTAAAATATCTGCAGACACACCTCTAGATATTAACACATAACATAAAAATACAATCTTTGTATTGACTCTGAAGAATCATAACATGGCATAAAAGCATAAAAAGCTCTAGTGAAATGGATACTATGATAAAACATTGTTGGTTCAGTGTGCGGCAGATTGTGAAAGCAGCCAATCTCGTGAAGGGCCAGTCTTGTGTGCTGCTGTCAAGGGCCTGTGTGTGAAACATGCCCACAGCCACTCATGGAGAACCATATGACGAAAGCAATTTCCATAGAGACCACTCCGCTTCTCTGCTCCTGCATATATTGACAAGCCTACACGACTTTAACGACTGAAAAACAAGCAGTCATTTGGTGAATAAAGTATATAGTCCACTAAACATGGAGTCTAATCATGTAGAAAACATCTTTAAAGGAACTATATGTAAGATATTGATTTTAAATTGTATAAACTTGACCTAACTGTACTAATGCTGATTTATTCTTCATTAAAAAACACCGTGGACATGATGTTTGTGAAATCCCTCAGACGTCCAGGTAGGATCACTTCTGTCAACTGGACAAAACAGAATTGAATTTCTACTTTGCTGTTGGACATGAAAGTTGGTGTTTTGAATTTCAAGACAATTATTCAATCAGAAAGCAGAAGAGCTGGGCCTCTCATTTGGGTCACCAGTTTCAATGCAGGAATTCAGTTTAATCCTAAAATGTCTCTCTCTGATCTGACTGGTCTCTATCTAGACGAAGAAAGGCAAGTTTATTTGTATAGCACAATTCGTACACAAAGTCATTCAAAGTGCTTTACAGAATAAGAAATTAAAATCACAACACAAACAGCTCAAAACATAATCATCACAAAATTTAAAAGAGAGGGAGACATTAAATGAGAATGCAGAGTGCAGAATGAAATCCTTTCAGTCATATGCAGCTAAACAGAACTGTTTTGAGCTTGGACTTAAACAGAGTCAAAGTCGAGGTCTGT